AGATTATAACTACAATATTGTAGCAACATTATAATATTTCTGCAATATAGCTGCAATGTTGCAATGTTGTTGCAACATTGCAATTATCCGTGTTTGTTGGGGCGTAACGTGTGTCACATTGCAATGATGCTTCTGCTTAAAAAGATGCAGACTCCAATCGATAAGATCGATCGTTTTAGTCAGTCCGAAGCACGCGACGAGCAAAGATACGTCCGACAGCGTTAGATGAAAAGAGACATTGTTAGAACACGTTGCTTATCGCAATATCCGCTATATCTCGCTGCAACAACACCATGCACATACGCAAGCACACACGCACGCACGCACGCACGCAATCGTCTCGTTCTCGCCCTAATACCGAGCCTTGCAGTCGCACGGAATAATTGGTGATCTGATCAGATAATCGCGGCCCTTAGTCTTGACACTCCTACCGCACTTGTTCCCGTGTCACGTTGGTAACGACAATATCAAATATGTTTCCGCTACAATTTCTAACGTTACTCGCTCTGATATAATTGATAAAATTCCTGTGCAAATATTATTACGTATACTGAATATTGCGTGCACGTCCACGATAATTGACCTCTTTTGGGCAACGTTCCTTTGGGAACGAGGAATTCGCGTAATTTGGGAATTTACTCTTTCCTCCCGTTATTAACGCCGTAAAGTCGGTTTAAATCGGGCAAGGACACGTAATCTCAAAGGCACATACACACTCGCTCCGGTTTGAAAGGGAATCCTTAAATCCTGGCATCAATAAAACAGCGATATAATGATTATATTAATATCTGTTTTATTGTTTCCTTTCAAACCGGGGAGTGTGTATGTGTGTGTGTGTGTGTGTGTGTCTTTGAGATTACGTGAGATCAGATCGTAATAACGCGTCGGGGGCGGAACGGCGGAATTTCGCGTTGAAGGAACGAGCAGGAAGACGGAAGGGCGGGATGCTCCCTTTTAGCGCGCGTTGTCTCGCTTGAGTTACAAATTTCTTACAAAAAGCTGAAGACTTACATATCGTTCAGTGTTGTTTCGTCGACAAATGGCATTAACGACGAAAAAGTTGTACGAATGTGTTTCTCTTGGTACATACGCGGTGTGTACGGGGGAGCGTGTGTGACAAATGTAGAAAAAAAAATTGCTCAAAACTTGAAAAAAATTCGTTTAAAAGAAAAAGGAAAAGAAACTTGGCTATTCTCACGTCCCGACATCGTGCGTCACGAAATTGCTACGGTACAATTAATCTATTATTTGTAAAAATGCGACTCGTCATGTCTACCCGCGTTATTTCATCCTCGCGTCATCGTCATCGTCGTCGTCGTCGTCGTCGTCCTCGTCTCATGCTTTTGCCCGCACGTGCCGGCGGAAAGAATCCCCCAGCTGCTATAACTATACAATTAATTAACGTTAGTAATTACTCTCACTTAATTCTAAATTTATCATGATATCGCGTCCGTATGTAACGATGTCCTTCATTATTCATGGCGTCAGCCCGTCGTAACGCGTCCGCCTTTTACTAAGAGCGTCGCTACATTTCGTTAAAACCACACCAGAACTTTTCACTAAGAAATTAACAAACTTCGACAAGAAAAGAATCACGATTTTTCGAGCCCTGCACGGAGCTTCCTTTTTCTCTGTCTGTCTTTCTTTTTTTTTCTTTTTCTTTTTATTCCTCGAGATCTCCGATTCTTTATACGACACTCGAAATTCGATTATCGGAGTCTATCCTTGATTTAAGTAAGGAAAAAGTCTCTTAGAATAGGGTCTCCTTTTCTGTACAGACCGATCCGCCGATATTGCACGAGGTTCCTTACAAAAACAGTTGCACGGCACAACCGATCGGCTATGCAAGCTGGTAATTCGTCAACACCTGTTCTTACAGCTATTTACTCACATTTTTCTTTTTTTCTTATAGAAAGATCAGCACAAATCAAGTTCATACTCTATTACGTTATTCTAAATCATCTTCCGTATAAAACACTCTTAATTACTAACTATTCATCAGACACGGTAAAACACACTTTATCTCGTTTTTTTTTTAATATTGAAGATTATTCCTTGAGAATTAAGGTATTTTTACGTATACATGTGCCAACGCGAAACAAGTACAGACTTATCGTAGTGATTAAAGCGATAAATTTGTATTGAGGGAAAAAAACAGACAGATACATAGAATATTATTGACACGATTTACCAGCATGCAATAATTTATCGTGCGCTCTTATTTTCTGAAGGGAATGGAGGGGGAGAATTCTCGCACTGCGTCTCGGCGCCGCATGTCTAAGCCGCGCTACGCAGTCCGCAGGGCGAGCAAGTGAAAAAACAGAGGAATCTCTTGACGAGCAGATTGACGAATGTCAACGTCCCCGGTGTGCTTCGCAGGGGCAACCGAGCGCATCGTGGGAACCTGTCGTCATACTCTTCATCTTCTTCGTAGTCGTAATTGTAGCTGTACGAAAGATTACGTGGATAATGCTGAGGATGGTAACGATAACGTTGACGCTGATAATGCTGTACTTGTTGATGATGCTGATAAGAATGCTGGATACGGTGTACGCACTTCCTGGTCTCCAAGGCGCTGGGTCCTGGCAGTGAAGGGCGAGCGAGTGTGCGCGCCGATGCTGAATATCCCGATACACGCGGGGGATTGTGTGGCGGGGGTAATCGTAAGGATAATCTTGGGGCCAGATTCGGCCTCATTCGGGATCACCAGTTGGCCATGCCGGGTTTGTTGAGAGTCATGAAATAGATCTGGCACGAACTACCACCCTTCGCCGACGAGAAGAATACCTGAGGCATATAAAACGATGTAATGTTATAAAAGTTATATATAAGCGAGAGGATGTTAACAAGAGAATCACAAGGAGAATCACTATTCCGAGGGGTCAACCACTACTAAAAAAAAAATGTACAGTGATTGCCAATTATGACAATACAACACACTTTATTGCTAGTATTGCTATTCTATTGTTTTCGTATTGTCAGTAATATTGCCACTTATTGCATAATAATATTGTCAAGTATTGCTAATGTATTACTAAGTATTGCTTGAGGTATTGCTATGTATTGATAGCATATTGCTAGTATTGTATTGCCGCAATACCAACAATATATTCCTGAAAAAATATATACTGATTCCCATAGTGATTGACTCCTCGCACTATTCCAAGTATTAATACGGTTCCACGTTTCAATTAACACTAAAAGTATTAATATTTCTCACTCACTAAAAGAACCAACCAAATAAATTACTATGAAAATTAAAGAAAGTGATGAAATATTTTATCAAGATAAACCTCAATCTACAATAGATATAAGCTTTAAGCTTAATAAAAAATTGCACAATCATAGTCGATTATTCTTCTCACATTGTCGTGATTGATCAATTTCTTACGACTTAAGGCTTACTGCACCTATTGTAGATCGGAGCTAAAGGACATAGGAGATAATTATTGAAACGTTAAAAAATTTCAGAATCCTATGTTTTACATAAGAAATATAATTCAAACACTAATTCAAAAAATATAAACGATCAATAATGAGCTTAGTATTTCTAGTGTTAATCATAGAAGTGTGCACACTTGAAACCGTACGCACCTTATCGTTACGTTCACAGAGGAACTTGAGCCGTTGAGCCTTCTTGTGCATGAAAACACCGTCGAGATGACCGCTCTCCACACTCCTAATCTCGATCGCCTTGTTGCCCCAGCCCATAATTTGTCCCGTACCGATGTACGCGACGCTCGTAGGCATCTCGCCCCACTGAAGAACCATCGTCTTTGACACTCTGCCGTAAGTATTTACGTATACGCCCTCGTTATCGTAGCAGAGTAGCAACTGCATGCCATTACTGTTCGGCAACGCTACTATACAGTGCGGACAAATGGGACCCTGGGTCTGCGATTGAAGAACAAATGATAATACATATCATAGATCTTTAAAAAGAATAAAAATGTAAAAAAATATAGATGTACATATTCTCGATTGTTATTTATCGACTGATTTAAAAAAATGATAACAGACTTGAAATATCGTTGATAGGTAAAAATATCTAAAATTATATAGAATAGTACAATATCCTCTATCAATATTTCTTTATTGCTAAATCTAATCTGTTATTGTAATAAATTTTACACATATATTCTTCCAAATTCAATAATTGTTGGATTTAAAAATATTTGCCGACGATATGTCGGCATTTTAGACACTGCAAAGTACTTATAAATATTCTACACGTGCATTACTATTTATTTATTATTAAAAGAAATATTGATTTTCTCGGACAATAAGATCGGCAATAAATAGCATTGCGCACATCTTCCTAACGTGGAAAAATCTGAATTTTCTTACATGTTTCGGCAGATATATATCGTAAACCGTGGCGGAATCCAAATCGACCGCGTGAAATCCGTCAGCGCTACCGTAAATAACCTTTAATCTTGAACTCTCCTCGACCGTGAGGTCAACCAACAGAGGTCTGTGCGCGAGCTCGCCGAAAGATTTGAAGGCCATAAATTTGTGGTACGGCTTTGGCGCCCAGGCGTAAATCTCTATGGAATCTTTCAGTGCGATCACGAGGAACTTTATTCTTTCGTATTTCACTATTTTGAAATGCACCGCGCCCTGCAAATCGCCAACGTTGATCCAACCGTTACGTCGCTCGACTTGCTGCAAATAAACAAGATTTATTCGACATTAAAACGCAATGGATACACAGAAGCGAATTCCTTCGATACATGTAAAACGGAAACTTACGTCACTGTGACCGTCCGTCCGCAGAATTTTGCTCTTCAACCAAGAAAGATAGTAGACGCGCACTCTGTTTTTCTTACCGCTGATCGTAACCAGGATATTTTGACCCTCGAGGACCTCCATTTGTTGGAAACGCCTTCTGCTGATCAACTGGTAAACCTTACCCTGTCCGCTCCTGTCCAATAACATCAAGCCGTTCTCGGTTCCAATTAATAGATTTACACCTGTGAAGAGATAAGAATCGATTATGATTCGAACTCGAGCGTATTATACGATTAATCACAAGATAGAAAAGATTTCTGCCCCCGATATACTAGGACTGATGATTTGCTTCGAAGGCTTTGACATTTGTACTTCGAAGCTCAGAATATTCGAAGCATTAAAATCTTCGAATTCTTTCGAAGCTTCGAAGTTTCGAAAAATACATTCGTGCAAATGAATTTATTCAGAAAATTTATAAATATTGTAAATAAAAAGAATTAATATATATGCTCAAAATATATATACGTAATTTTCCTAACTAATTTTAAAGTATTTTAACCTGGAATATTACAAAGTAATAATTAAACTTGATACATATGTAAATAAGGAAAGATAATGATCAATGAAACAATCAAACTAAGAAAATTCAAAAAAATAAAAATAAATTTATTCTTAAATAAATGAACAATAATATAATAAATTAATATAATTGTTTTGGCGTCATTAAATCTTCCTCAGTATAAAACAATCTTAAAAACAGAAAATTTAAAATCGTAAAATTAATAAAAATTATTAATTTTTAAATTTGCACAAATGTATTTTTCAAAACTTCGAAGTTAATTTTCAAAGCTTCGAAGGCATCTTAAATTTCGAAAGATCGAAGTTAACTTTAAAGCTTCGAAGTAATTAAAAAGTAACAGTCCTATTATGTACGCACCCCATAACGCGGCGCAGAGGATCTCGCTGTTGAAACGCTTCTTGTATTTGCGTATCTCCGGTGTGTCCGATGCTAAATCGTGGCTGGTCGGAGTCACGTTAACGTTCACGTGGGACTCTCTCCTCGCTGGACCGGCTCCGAATCCAAAGGTCAGGAATGACCGCTGCTTCTGTTGAAGCGCAAACGGAGGAGGTGATTTCACCGCTTGTCGATACTGCAACAAAGATAACTTTGCCGTTTGGGAGAACTCCAGGGGGGGAGGCGTGTTCGAAATGCCAGGCAAAACTACTATACTTTGCACGCAAAGATGATACTGGAGTGAACTAGGAGAATTTATCATCAACCCAAATACCGCAAACACAATCAACAGAAAAAAATACAAGTCGCGCAGAAACGCGCAAGGTTTTCCCTTTTCTTTTCCTTTTTAATTTAATTGGTAAAAAAAAAACAACATGCAGAGGGTTGAGCGAAGAAATGAAAAAATGAAGAGAGAACAAATCAGCCGATTCAAATGCGATATTATCTACATAGCATTCTTACAAACAAACAAGGTCTATCACCTCTCGATCGCAAATTAAAGCATTTTTTTCAAACATAGAAATGATAAAGAATAAAGGCATTCGCATGTAATCCATATGTGTGTATGTGTGTCGGAGGGATGCGTTTGGTAAGGATCAAGCAGACTCAAAACTAGCCAACTCTGCGTTCAACGACATCCACAATTACCAACTATATTAGCTTGTTATTATGGTATGTCTTCGTGTTACTCTCAATATAACACTCAATATACAGGATTTAAATATCCGCGTCGTGAAGCGACGGTGATCTATCCAACGCGCGTCGTCGCACGTTTTTTTTTTTTTTATGGGTGAGAAACAAAACCCAGAGAAAGGACAGAAGAAGGAAGAGAGAGATGTGAGAACAAAAAGCAACGGTGGTCGCGGCCGTGTTAGAGAGTTAATATACGTTTTATTACCATGGTGACACCAAGAATCAAGTATAGATTCCCACAAAAAACCAACCAAAAAAAGAGGGTATAAGATAAAAACGGCCTGCGCGCACACAAAACTGGCATTCATTCTCGCGGTGCAATAATGAAAAAAGATCAACGTTCGAGAGCAAATTAACACGTGTCCTCTCATACCCCTCTGTTCCCACCCCTCGCGCGAAAAAGCGGGGGGCGAGAAGGAGGAGGAAAAAGGAACGGTAGTCGAAGTTTTTTTTATTTTTTAATGGATGAATAGATACTTACATTGTAATTAGTATTGGGATTGGAATGGTCAGTAGAGGGCCCTGCCCTTCGAGTTAGAGCTCCCGCGTGTCCCACAACACACAACATAATCCTGAATTAGTCACGCTGACAACCGAGTATAATCGAGACGAGAAGAGTATAATCTTAATAGAGATCACACGTGAAACAGAGACAATGCGTGGTCCTACGATCCTGCCGATCGTAACTTAAAGCGTGACCGTAATAAGCCAATAATTCTTTTTTTTTTTGTAATTCTATGTACAAAGTCCGATTTCGGCTCTATTCACGATTTTCACGTCTCTTCTTGCACGTGGATGGGGAGGTTGATATAAGCGCTCTTGCATATATGCAATTCATCATGGTGTCCAGCGATATCTGGCTAGCCAATTCAAGGATAATTTCAGGAAATTTCAGGTAAAAATCCTGGTTTTTCCAGGTCGATTAATTTTCATTACTTAATTAATTTTTATTGATTTGCGCAATATCATATGTTTTGTATTCGAATTAGGATTCTATGTGACAAATCAATTAAAATGCGAACAGAACAATATTATTTATTGCTTTACAAATTGCTTGTCTTATTTTATCTTTAAAGGAGAGCTTGTACAACCATAAACTTTTCCAAAAACAACGTTACCGATGTTTATCAACATAATTTTTGACACACGCAAGAAATATTTCTTATTTCTTTCTTATTTTACGATTCAATTTTATTTAGAATAAAAGAATGACAAAAATTCAAGGTCAATTCAGAAATTCCCGGGGTTTTCCAGGAATTTTCCAGGACATATTAAATTCCATAATAATTCCAGAATTCAGGGACATTCAAGGATCGCTGAACACCCTGTTCACGTATTTGGGATACTATACACTTTGCGACATAGCCGATATATCCGAGAAGGCATAATCTAAAATCAGGAAGAGACACGGAGAAGAACTGTATACAGCTCGATACTCTCGAAGAGCTGTTTCGTTCCCGTGAAGCGAGAGAAATACAAAAGAATATGCTTAAGAAAAGTAGAAGCTGCTGTCCATAATTTTTTTTTTACAGTAATGAATCGAGTGATGCTGCACGAGCGGTTGAATCGCAAAGATTCTCTTTGATATTGCTTCACCGATCTGACTGGGAGATTCGAGTAGAAAGATAGAACGTGACCCGAAGAGCGATACTTCTGGACCGTTACTAGACTAGTGGAAACTTTCTCTCTCTTTCTCTCTCTCTCTTTCTTTTTAAGTTTCTTTTTATCAGAGTACAGAAAAATACGACGACTTGAAATCGAATTGAAATCTCCTCTAAGAGTCTCCTCTAAGAGTTAAAAATTTTCTGCTCGAAATCAAACTCTCGGAAATCAACTCCCTCCGGTATATACCCTGCCTACTACATCGTACAATAAACGCAAGGCAATTTTTCTTGCACGACTTTTCGTAGACAGTAATTTTTGTCGGTGCACATAAAAAGAAAACAGAGAAAGAATACAAAGAAATAAAAAAATTAAAAAAAAATACCGTCAAGATCTATTTACCAATTGCTAAAATTCATAACGTAAAAGTGAGAATGCAACCTAAAGGAACGGAACAACAAGATTGATATACGTATAGTCAACAAAATGCACTTTTTCGCTATCACGGACAATTAACAAGACATTGACACAAAGCATAAGCCGCCCCCTGTGCAAACCCTCAAACTTAAACTGTATGTATATATGTGTATGCGTATAAATGCGTGTGTATGTAAATCACTTCGCGGTTTAAGTCGATTCGGCATAGTTCCGAAAGTACGGAAGCATCGAGCGAGCTCATACCGTTAATGTCGTTGCCACTAGTCTGTTTCCAAGTCTGGCGAGAGGTAAATAAAGAATATAAATCTCGAATCACATGTTTGCGGGTAAACACAGTACCATGACGCGCTACGTACCTATTTTGCGACGTATGCTTAGAATATAATCGATGATAATTGTATACACATTATAGAAACGTTTTCGACCCAATCACAAAAAAAAGCATTACTCCTCGGACAGTCCGATATAAACACGGAGAAAAGAAAGCATTCTCATTTGCTACTGAACGAAACTGATAATCATTCTCAAGATTCTCGATCATTGATACGTCAACGATGTTGCACGTCACATCGCTCACAAGACTCACGCCTCGACGAGACATATATATATGTATATGTATATATATATATGTATATATATTATATATACATGTATATTATATATACATATGTATATTATATACATATGTATATTATATATACATATATGTACATATACATATATGTACATATACATATATGTATATATAAACATATTTCGTATAAAATAGAGTTGCGGAAAGTAATGCCATGCGCGCACTCGCTCGCATCCGTCGCACGTTAAAACTGGAACCAAGATCCAAGAAAGGAGCGAGTAAATAAACACGAACGAATGAATTTACTTCAATGATGTTGACGTAGCCTAAATTTACGCCATCAAATACATTCTATCTCTCGTTGGTGTCTCAGAGGCAAAGGTGGTGTTGTTACATCTCAACTTGTCTATGTTCGTCCGTAGATATTCGCTCGCAAATCGGTCGTCCTTGCCAAATTGGATCCACTTTTAAATCTGCACGAGCATATCTTCCGTCAAACGTGAGAGACTTTCAGTTCCATGTCAGGTTCCGACATCGACACCTAATTTTCCTTCTCTTTTCATTCTATATCGAATCGCGTATCACAAATATCCCACTAGTATCTCTGTATTTGATCGAAAGAGATGAAGCGTATGCGAGTGCACGCACAGAAGACCGATATAGAAGACACAGGTACATAGGTACATAGACGGACGGATAAATCTGACCTCCTCGCTAGTTGACTTGTCCTGCCGTTGGCCCGGCGAAGAAGTCAGGAGATCCGGTAAGACCGAGCTGGGCCGTGAACCCGGGGACGAGTCCGATCTCTGGAAATCACCTCCGCCTCTTGAACGGTCGCCCTCGCGATTCTGCAAACCAGTGAACCTCCGTTAAAAAAAAAAGTGGCCAGTCGAAACAGCGGATAAAAGAAAGAGTAGAGGTAGAGAAGAGACTCGAACGAGACCTGAATTCTTATTTTATTCATTATTTTTCTCGCAAAATTTCCTCTTTTTCTTCCAATTCTGATCATTTCTCATCTTCGTAGATAGAATGATGATATGAGATTATTTTCTTTGCTTTCTCAATGGAACAAGAATTTAGATCTCGATATTGCGGCTAGGATAAGGAGCAAATTACGCTAATTAGAGAAATAGGACAATTACACCGAATATTAATATCGAGAGGCAGGAATCAGGAATTGATAATCAACGAGGAAATAATGCTAGTGAAGAGCAATAATGTTATGAAAGCGCGGATTACGTCATGGAAAAGCAAAAAAGCAAGCAGAGACAATGAAAGAACAGAAAGAGGACAGAGGAATGCAAAAAAAAAAAACGTGAAAAGCTGTGAAAAAACAGATACAGAAAATCAATAAAATAATATAAATAACACCAAAGAACTTATTTCGACGGTGCATCTAAAAAGAGATTACGCGTTATTGATTTCTCCACACGGATACGCAACAAGTTGTACGACTTAAGTCTTATTGATCAGCGCGTATAGCGTAGAAGATACGTAAAGAGAAAACGTCACAGTCATGCAAATCAATTAGCTAATATCGATCATATCTAGTTGCTTCTTATACTTATTTCATTAAATTTAACATTATTAATTTACCGAATGGTCTACAATTAAGTCTTATTATGACGATTTACAAGGGATTCCAGTATTCATTAGCCTAGGAGCTCGTTATGCTAATTTCAATAGAAATGTAAATGCACAATCTTGACGGGACGTACAATGAATCATAATCGCTAGCACAAAAAAAGATACAGACCTACACAACGATAAGCAACAAAAAAAAAAAAAGAAATGAAATAGACTGATGATGTACAATGAGTTATCATCTGCTGTGCTTCTATCATTAGCAAACTAGACTTATACTAATTAAGCTAGTAAACTGAGTGCAATTGTCGCCTTCATTTCGGACATCGTGCGACGTTAACGCGACAGTCACACTCCTCTGGGTGGTTCTCGGCTGACGAACATGAGACAAGGACATTTGAAATTCAATTTTCAGGTGCCCTTTCTTGGCGCACGTTAGCACGAAATCCCGGGACAGACACAAAATCGCTACACGCGTACATGCCGGAAGAACACATACACAGAGACAAAATGAAGCATGCTTAGCACGTGCTGCAACACACGAAGACACACGAGACACAGTCGCTGGTCTCAAACGCGCGTATCTCGAACGAGGCAACAACATTCGTACATGTCAAGCAAGCGTCATGCAAGACGATGCTCGTGATAACAGGCACAGCCTCGTATGATGTTTACAATGTGATCCATTGTCTATTTCCGGTTCCATGACTTCTCTGAGACTGCGTTCTCTCTGCCTCAACGTCGTCCTCCTCCTCTTCTCCCAGCACTTCAACCATTTGCACATCGTCTCTTTCTTTTCCCTTCTTTTCTCATCTATCTTTTCTTGGTCACACAGAATCATGCATGACATTAGAAATTGTATTGCAACACAAAACGCACTCATACACGCCAGGCCGGATCGTTGATCGTTATCCTTACTCTTTCTTTCTTTCGATCTTTCTTTTCTTCTCAATCTCGCCCACTTTCTTTCTTTCTGTTCCCTCTCATTCTCTACTTCTTTCATTCTTGGGATGCAAAGATTTTGGCTCGAGTAATAGGATTTCCGAGAGACTGATACTCAAAGAACACGGCGACAGTGTTAATGTGTTTAGTCATATACTTTAGTAACTCACATATTAATGTATAAAGAGCCAATATTGTGTCATATCTCAAAAAACGAGTTCTGTTGTTAATACGGATTATTTTAGTTACAAATCTCCAAGTAAACAGATTTCTTGTTAGTAAAAATTGCATTTCAAGAAAGAAGATTTGAAAGAGAAAAATTTAATTAAAAAAATGAAGGATTCTCGATATCATAAAACCGGCTCTCTCGCTTGGTCGTACCCATCAACGTCACGAATATTCTTCTCTAAACGAAAGAGATTTTAATTGGAATTGCTCAGATAATAAATTTTGTCGACAGTTCTTATTTGAACTCGTCGCACTTCCGATTACTTCCATATAGATTTGTTAACAGAAATCAAAGTGTCAAATAGACGCGTAACGAGAGATCACATTGAAACACGTTAATCATACAAACAAAAATCTTTGTGATTTGTCATCACGAACTTTAGTAGGTCTTTTTTTTTATGTTTTGCCGAATCCCGCGGCGTGTCGTTGCGTGTCGATGGTAACGACGTTGTCGAGTATCCCGAAGAAATTCCATGCGGTTAATCCTCAGTTCAGTCCCAGATTCTCGTATTTTCATCACCGTAGAAGTGACGTCCGGCGCTTTTCCACATAGTATAGCACGCATCACTCACAGACAGTAGAGGACGAGGCTCGTTTGCCAGGGACAAGGACACAGCGATGAGTGGAAAACAGAGGAAAATCTGAATTACCGAGTAGCAATTAATTAATTCGACATCAGTTTCGTGTTGGCCGCATCCTCATTAGTGAGTATTCGCGCGATATATCCCACAACCGTATATTGACAGATACTTTAAAATAAGGCAAATCAAATGTTTACAGATAGAAACATCGCGCGTGCGACGATTATGAATGTGTAACCCCAGATGAATCGCCGAAGAGAATAACGCGCATTATCGCTACTCAGCAAATACATTTGCAAAAAGCCTCTTGAAGAGCGGAGGAAAGAGTGAATAAGATATTGTGTCACTGCAGCACCTCTTAGCGTGAATCTCCCATGACCTTAGTAACAAGTAGGAACTAGTATTAGTGGTACTAACAGTAGTAGCAGTAGTAGTTAATAGTAGAAGTAAATATAATAGGAGTAGTTAATGGTAGTAATAATGTTAGTAATAGCGGTATCAGATAGATTGCGGTGTGTATTAACGATATTCTCTACCGTTATGCTTCAAAGATCCCGTCGCTGTCACGTAAAAATAATGGAGAATCTAATCAGAGATTATATCAGAGGTGATATTAATACTGCTAATATGTTATTGATAGCACTAGTAATTAATAACGTATCGCCTGCTACTTACTTGACAAATCGTGAAAAATGACTAAACACAAGGAAAGAAAATGCGCCTAAAAAGTCGAGCGTAGCTGACTAGCTTTCTATGTGATCGTTATATGCCGCTGGATGTCGAAAAATTAGTCACGATTGTCTCAAGAGGAAAACGTGAAGAATCGAAGTGTCCACGAGCGTCACACGGGGTGTCACGAATATGTTGATTAGTTAACAAAGTGATAAATATTTACATGTGAATTACAGAAATTGCACTGGCAATGAACGGTATACATGGATAATACATATGAATAACTCGACGGACACTTCGAAGATACGTTCTTGGAAAGGGGCTGAGGATCGAGGAAGATAACAGGCAAAAAGTGTCAATATAAGGTAAGTAAGAGGGGTCTCTTTCAGGCAAGCACACAGGCAGGACTCGCGTAGAACTCGCGAAAGTTTCCCGCGACTCGCGGAGGCTGGCGCAGACGATAACCGCCTAAGGGGGGGGAGGGGGGACTGACCTGGGTAACAACGGGGCTGTATTCGCTGGCCGTCGTACTGGCCGTGGACTTAATCGTTCCCGCATCTTCGACCACGGCGGACGCCGTAGCGTCCGAGGGTCTACAACTGCGTCTTCTTGCGTTCTCGTTCTCTTTATTGCGTCCGAAATCGTACCTCCTCGCCTCGTGCCTACTACCGAAGACGATCTCGCTCTCGGTCTTTTCTCTCCTGGGCCTCTGAGGCCCAACGTCGCGGCACAACGAGAAATCCGTTAGGACCGGCTCCCCGGAGCTGAGGGCACTGCCTTTTTTACCAACGATACCGGCAACGCTTATTTCGCTACCGCGTCGATTACCGCTAGCGAATATACTAGATCTCGACGAGTCCGACGACTTCTGCAGGTACGCCGAGTGCCTCGCGGACGGGAAGAAGTCCGAGTTCTCGCGGCGAAAGGCGCGCGCGAAGGCGCTCGACGCATTGCCCAGCTTCGAATCGCTCTCTTGCCGCCTGTGAATCGGTTTCAATTGCTGCTGTTGCTTTTGATGATGCTGCTGTTGCTCGTGTTTCCTTCGGGCTAACTGCTCCTGTCTCTTGAGCGTTCTCTCGCTGGACGAGGACGAGCGATCTTCGTTGGATCCAGACTTGCTCGCTTGGCCGGCCGCCTCTTGTTGATGCTCCTGTTTCATTTTATCCAACTTTTCGTTAAAACCCTGAAAGAAGCGGGTGAAATCCCACTCCTTCAGGAGGAGCTGCTCGTCTATCTCTGAACGCCGGTTGCCGCTAGCCGTTGCACGATCGTCTGACATCTGACTAAGTTTCTAGAGTGTGCGTACGATGGCGAAGGTAATGGTACGGTGACAGAGAAAAAAAACAAGAAAAAGAAATGCGTGCGATAACAACGTGAAACGATGATTATCGATGATGGTGGTGATGTAGTGGTGTAGTGTAACGATGACAATGTAAATAAAAAACGACTATCTTTGCGGCGGCAATAAATCTATAATGTAAAGTTAAAAGTGATAAAAAATTCAAGAGATATTAATTTCAACATCAAGTACAAAAGTACGACAGGAAGTTAAAAAAGGAAGTTACAACGACGCAATACAATCCATTGCAGCTTCACCGCAGCAACATAGTCAGTCCATCTATAGCAACGTATGTGATCGTCGTTCGTATATGAATGTGCATGGTGTATCGTACGACAGCGGCAAAAGTACAGACACAAGGCAGTGCGCCATGGAGCTCGCTTGGAATATACAAAGTTCAGTCTTGACGAATACTTAGAGCGAAACAATGAAGGGGGCGGACAATTTCACTGATTTAGTCCCGATTGTCAGTTAACGTTCGTACGTATTTACAAAAAAAGGTAAAAAAAAAAAAGAAAGATAAACAATGCGTCGCAATCGCCCGTGTTTCCTGCCTTTTTTCCATCCATCCTCGAATCCAATCCATTCTTACGTTAACAAAAACTTCGGGATAAACAAATAATATATCATTTGGATACTCGTGAGCGGTTAAATAATAGCGAATGCAATTGGACGCACTAATGCGTGCACATTAAAGGCGTTGTACACAAATCGACATAACGATGTGTGCTTAATATAAACATAGAAACCGGATTAAATCCTCAATATACACACTTTATTTTACCATTTGATAAAATAAATATTAGGCATTTTATCATTCGAGATATTTTACTTTTATAGATTAGATTAGTGTACAACGACTTTAATATGCACCAGTGCGCACTAGTGCGTCCAATCGAATTCGGTGCAGGTTAGACAAGAAAACACATCGACTGCTTTGCGCGAACTACTGAAACATGATTACATAAGATTCGTACGTTACATACCAACTGGTATATATGAAAGTTTCAAGTTATACCAAAATGAAATATATCTGAACGGAAGAGAAGAGATCTACAAATGTATATTTCAGCTTGCATCGCAGCCTTGAAGAGAGAAATACTCACTCGTTTCATGACTAGCGTACGGTCTCCCGATTCTTCCTCATCGGGGGTTGGTGGGAGCGGACGATTCGGTGCTCCTCCTACAAAGAGATTAGTCAAAGGCAGGGTGTTAAAATCACACAGCGCGTAGTATCATTAATAACGGCCTTCCTGGAAAGTAGTGGGCATCGTACCTTTCGGCTTATCCTCGTGATGGGAGTTTTGAGCATTGTGCGAAGATGACGACGACGAGTCCGACGACGGTCTGAAAGGAGAAAATTCGGGACTGCAGCGGTTGAAATAGAGATTGCAGCGGAACGACGTGACGGGTGGATGAAGCACACGTAATGCGTTGTCGGTGTTGCGAGGTGAGGCGAGGCGAGGCGACCAAGACGACCATATGACGCGAAATGTCGAAGCGTGGGATAGGCATGATGGAAGATGAAACGAAATGGCATTAGTAAGATTAATACAACTACGCCCTCATCTTATTATATTTAATGTATTGTAAAAGCGTTAAAGAAATGGTTTTGCGTGTTATATTGTATATTATCACATATTGTTATTTGTTTCTTACGAGAAATAAATTCGATCATACGAACAAAACGTATTATAATTGCTTTTTTTAATAGAAGGTGTTTTATAACGGATCTTTCATGAAGCTGATTGAAGATTGCACAAAAATGTAATAATTAAAAGAAATAGTTTTTGTATATAAATATTAATAAAATTCTAAATTTCCATTCAATTTTATTTTCAGAAAACTCTTAATGTTATGCAAATAAAGATGTGCGAATCAAGAATTTTTTTTACACCAAATCAAATCGAATCGAATTTCATTTCTTTGTTCGAATCTAAATCAAAACTCCGAATCAACTCAAATCAAATTAAATCAATTCGAATTGAAACGTAATTTTTAATTAACAACATTAAAATTCAACTTAGCAATTATTGTATTTGCAATATATAAGTAATAAAAAAGATTTCTATATAAAAAAATATAATCAAAGTGAATCGAATCGAATCAGGTTCAAGATTCGATACAATTCCTATTCGAACAATTCGCACATTTCTACAAATAAGTTTCAACAAGCGCTGCAGTTACAATATTTTTCATTAATAGTGTTGAAGTAATATATGCGTTAATATTAATTAATTAACAATAGCACATATATTTTTATGGCAACGAATGACAGTGGAACCTTAATCATAGGGAGTATCATTACAATGTTATCAAATATTCCCAAATAAAATATTCTTGATGTTGAAATGTTATTTTACAAAACGGCAAAGTCATTTACTTACAGCGGCTTGGGCGGGTCGCTAGCCAGCAAAGTACCGTCGTTCCTCAAATTGTTTCCACCAGCATCATCATCGTCATCGCTGTCACTCTCAATTGATAGAGCCTAGAACGATAAGGAGATATATCGTCTTTAGAGCGTTTCGCACTCTGTGCACATTTTCGATTTTTTTTGTATCGTGTATTTTTTTTTTTTTACCTCGAACTAGACGCAAGGCGACGTTTATGTGTCTCACGCAATAAGACAAAGAAAAACGAAAGGGATAATGATAACAACGAGGAGACAGGGATGCAGGCATAAGTGAATTTTAGCTGCTGAAATAACAATCGTGGTCGCACGCGCGGCTTACTTGATCGAGAATACTGGAGGATTGCGGCATCTGTTTGTTGTTCTGATCGTTACCACCTGCAGGCTGCACCGAATTCGATGTAGACGAGGCTGCAGGGCCCTTATGTTGCCTGTTTGGCCTTGGCGGGGCCTCGGGGCCCTGTGACACACCAAGCTCGATGAGTTGAGCAGCCAGTATCTCCATGTCCTACCACCCACACGCATACACGCACAACCCCGTTAGTCACTGTTCCGAGATCTCTGAGAATCTTTTGCTAGAAGCCACCATCGGATAGCCCAACAAGGCAGCCAAACAAGGCAGAAAGGCAAGGAGAAACTTCGAAGGGAGCGTAACGTTGTGCACTTAAGCGAAACTATCGACGCTCAAATAAAATGTTAATTAGGTTGATTCCGAAATACGTGGCCAAATTTTAAAAGTATACTCTACTTTGAAGAAACAGATAATATAAACATTAGTTCGGAGAAATGCTTCCTGTTCAAGTTATAAATACCCTTTGCTCGCAAAAATTAATATAAAAACCTTTTTTATGACAAATTAATAGACATATTACAATATGTTCATAAGGATCGTTGAAGTTACAGGAAGATTCTCAATTGTTAATAATAATTATCTTAATTCTCAACTTACAAACAAACTGATCATTTATTTGATCATTATGCTACCAATAAGATCAATATATGATGACAGATCAACTTGTATATTTCAACTGAAATGTTTTCACAGAACTTTGTCGCAAGACAGAAAACGTTTATAACTTGAAAAGAAACGTTACCGTATTTGTGTTTATATGACCTACTTAAGGAGGACTTTGTCCTTAATTCTTTGAGAACTGGCGACCCCATGTGGAGTCATCCCCTTTTATTTTACAACTGCTCGCTCGATTTTTATTAAACGTGGCCTATGAAATAATTTGATATTTTATCAAAATTCAAAGTAAAAAATAACAAGTTTAAAATAGTGGATCATGTTTTAAAAGAATAATCTAATTATTGTGAAATTTAGTTTTAAGAGATTCTTAGCATCGCTGAATATGATTCTGATTTTCGAATTCAAAAATTGAAAATTGTGATTATAGTGTGGAATTTAAATATAGTGTGAAATTTAAAAAATAATCTGATTAAACTCTATAAAACTCATAAAACTCTAATTTTAGGGAATATTTATTGAAAAGTAACAAGTTTCCAGTTTCGCTTTATAAAACTCATTAGTGATACGCAAAACAAACTATTAGTAACAAACTGTAACAAAATATATTTACAAACTAATATATATTAATGAGTTAGTTGCTATTATAAATTATAGACTAAATTATTTATTAATAACATTGAATTTTTGAATTCTGAAGCCAGAATCGGATTTAGCGTGCTAAAAGTCCTTAGAAAGTTAGATTTTTCATACTTTGTTAAAAAGCGTCGGTCCTCAAAGGGTTAAAGCGATTAAACTACACATTTTCTTCTAAATTACTGCTATTTCAGAATCGCCCTTTGTAATGTTAAGATGCCGATTCTAACGCAACACGTTTAATGAAACATTAAATCATATATTAGACCATAATTAGTTAGGAATTAGAAAGCTGAACATAACATTAAAATAGTTTTAATTTTTGTTCAGTACAATTCACTACTATTTGCCATTCGAAAGACGGAAGATATATTTTTTAACAGATATTTTTAATAGATAGTTAATAAATTATGAAATAAAAATGTCCCTCCATTAAAACAAATTTTTGATTTTAAAAACTATAAAAATAATAATTTTATAAAAAATTGTTTTTCTAATTACATATTTGTTCTCTCAAATTAAATAAATTGTCTTCATAACATATTTTTCATGTCTTCTATCAAATGAATTATTCAGATATTCATTTCTGGTGGACCATTCTGCATATCGATTGTTAGAAATGTAGAACAAATCGATTACTTTCAATACACAAACTAATCATAAATATTACGTTTTAACGATGCGATAATAGAATTAATTATATATATTATATCTCGAAACACCAACAAACGTGTTGTGTATGTAGATTCGAACATGTACAATCTAACAAAGAAAGTTCACTTAGACGATTAGAGTAAAAGCTTGGTAATCGAACAAGACAAGGGTTCAAGCGAATTAAAAGGATATTTACATATTTGTTATTATAAAACGGAAAAATTTACAAATGAATCAGTGCGTTTGAGAACACATTCTCTATTGATTTAAATTTGTTCTATAAATATTTGTATTAATAAATCTGTATTTGTTTTGTTACTTACAAGGAGATGCCACAACCTGCGAAATACGGAAGGAGATGAACCATAGGCTATTCGAAAGGGGAACTTGAGTGTACAAACACGGTAAAAGGGTTTCCGCGAATGGGCCTTGGTTCCTGAGAAAATTGCAAGTAAAGTTGAGCATCCGATCAGCTGTATGGTAAATATCCAAATTATGCGTCAGTAAGCAGGAAAGCTGAAGTTTCTCTTTTTAATGCGGCCAACGAAACTTCAATGCGAGTTCGAATCCTCGCAGTGTCAATTTTTCTATTTTTTAATAAACGTTACGGCGATTGTGGCGCAAGGCGCTGCGTAGCAGCTTACTGTGCCGAGGATCCAAATTCAAAACCATCCAGAATTACGGTGCTCTGAAATGCGCTGCCGGTGCTCTACAGCATTTGGCGGCGCAAATCGGAACACGATCTCTGGAAAGCGATCGCCACCTCTCGGAAAGGCAAGGCAAAACCACCGAGAGTATTTCTGTCAAATAAGAACACCCGATGGTGGAGAGGGATTCCGAGGAGATATGGACCTGGTGTCCGACACGGGGCTAAACGGGGCCTGGTGTCTGGCGCTAAGTCCGAGATAGGACCAGTGTCTAGCGCAGGAACTGAACAAAACCTAGTGTCTGGCATGGGTCTGAGACGAACTGGTGCCTGGCACGAAGGCGAACGGAAGTTCAGTGTCGGACAGCAGGGGGAGACTGCCATTGGAATCCTTCAAAAATAAAGCGGAAGTTACAATGGCACTTTATAGAGCTAGGTGACGCTGGGCCTTTCGTACGACCAACCGCATAACAATTACTACTACTAATAAACGTTAATTTTCTATAATAATTTATTTATCTTTCTCATTTCAACAAAAGTAATTATTGTTCAATTTTTGTTACAAATAATAATAAATAACAAAAGTTTTAAAATTTTTAATTATTTATTATAAAATTCTACCCCTACTACAATTTTGTAAATAAAAATCAGTGTAAAAACATTGAAAATGGTCGGTAAGAATCATAATAAAATATTGTAAGCATTTATTTATATGTATCTCTATATGTATTATTCGGAATATCGATCTTTCCTTTGTCTTTATTCAAGAAAATTCTAAAAAGCATCTGCGCATGCGTGTTGTGAAAGGTCCTACCGTTAAGGCCTTCTTCTCACAAGTTAGTTATCTTACGACTATTGACTAGTAAAGAAATCTCTATATTTCGCAATCAAAAATTAATGTTACATATTGTAAAAATGGCAATGCCAAGTGTAGATCCATCATTAATAGACCATATCTAGATATTGGCAAAATCTGATGAAATGATGTCGAAAGAAAATTTAACTGATAGTATCGCATATTTTCAAGGTAAATATTTTGTATATTTTGTAACTACATATAAAATATATGTAATATAGTAATGTTAGATTTTTTCTACCGACATGTTAGTAAAGTTTAATATGATTGACGCCGAGCCACCCAAAAAGTTTACCAATATTGCAAAGAGTGTTGGCGGAAAATTATTTGAAACTTTTATAAAAATGTTGGGTAAATGCACAATTACGGAGGAAACGGAATATTTTTTGCCTGATGAAGAACAAGTTGTAGAAGAAGAAGAAATGCCTTCAACATCCAATTCATAGTCAAGATGAAGAATATGTGCCACCTACAAAAGTTGCCAGTATTGACAGAGTTCCGTTTGACATAAAATTAAAAATTGTCATGACTGCAAACGAACATCCGAAGTGGAGTTTTAAAACTTTGCAACAACGATTTAAACTCTATTTGCGACATGTTGCACGATTTAAAAAAGATATTTTAACTGGTGGAACCTTTTGACAAAATGAACATTATAAGAAAAAAAAAACGTTTATGATCGATTTGTTGAAGCACGAAAATGTAAACAGCTAGTTACAAGGCGTCAAGTGCAACAGTGGGCTATAGGTGCTGCAGCCCAATTCCGAGATCCAAGCACAAAAGAGGAAAATCAGTGTCCTTTTCGCTTTGTAGCATCTACAAGCTGGTTAACTTTCTTGAAAAATTATAAAATTTCAAATCGTCGAGTAATTCGATATTTGTCCAAAAAGGAAATACAATCACCGCAAGAGGTCTAGAATAGAGGTTCTAGAATCCGCGATACGATTTCAAAATTTAATACAATCTATTTCATCAGATTGTACATCCAACTTTATTATTAATACTGATCAAACAGATTGTGAGTATCGAGCAAATGTATCAAGAACATATACTTTTAAAGGAGGAGAGGCAGTCGAGCTTTATATAGATGATTTAAATAAAGTTACACATTCTTATACTGCTCGATATTCTTTAACGAAATCTGGTAAAATAATAGAAAAGGTATTTGTTTGTTTGCAAGAACCTAGTGAAACATTTGGAGTACGTGTTCAGAAAGAAATCGACGAACTTGTACAATTATGTAAAAATGTTGTTGTCTATTCAAAATTGGGAAAATTGACATCTTTGTATGAACAGTATTTAAAAACTGTAAAATCTTACGTGGGCAACAATCCATTTTTATGCATTGTCGATTCTTGGAGAGATAACAAAAATATTCATATGTACAATGAACATTTCCGAAATAAAGAAAATAAGCCGACCTGTAATTTGCAAATTATTCCGCCAAAATGCACTCCAATTTGCCAGCCATGCAATGTCTATTTTTATAAACATAAACAAGTTAAAATCATAATAAAACGAATTTAAAACTGCTCAGATCTTCTTGTTAGCGAAGAAAAAAGCAAATTAAATACGCGTTATGATGCGATTCGAATACAATCATTAACACATATTATTTATTATATGCTCCGCTATTTAAAAATACAATTTGTTTGGTACGCATCAAAACTGGCATCCGAACGCGAAATTTTTTATAATGTAAATCAGTTGTTTTCCGCCAAATATTCACAGTATGAAATGTGTTTGTAAAAATAATTCATTTATAAAATGTTCATGATGATACGTCTTACTTATGTTTTAAATGTTTTTATATTGATTTTCATCCGCAAAATTGTATGACAATGGCAGAATTTTATAATAAATAATTAAAATTTTTAAAACTTTTGATATTATTTGTAACAAAAATTGAACAATAATTAGTATTTTTGTTAAAATAAAAAAGATAAATTAATTATTTATATATAGAAAATATAACGTTTATTTAAAAAAAATTGGCAATGCGAGGATTCGAATTCGCATTGAAGTCTCATCGACCTTGTTAAAAAGAAAAGGACGCGCCTCAGTCTGTTCAGTTACGCCGCTTTCCTGCTTACACAATTCGGATACTTATCGTACAGCTGATCGGACGTCTATTTACAATTTTCTCAAGAACCAAGGCCCATTCCAAAAACACTTTTACCGTGTTTGTACATTCAATCCCCCCTTTCGAATGGGCTATGGCTCATCTCATCCGTATTTCGCAGGTTATGGCATCTCCGTTAGGAGAATTAATTAGAATTGTTTTACGTGACTGATGTCACGTTACAATTCACTTCTATCACATATTATCTAAATGCAGTTTTTGCTACTATTGCAACTTGTTTAGTTAGTTTAATTTTCCAAATTTTTATTTTATAAGAAGCTTTAAAGCCTCGAAATGAACAATCATTATCATTCTTTACAAAATCATTAATTTGCTTTAAAACATATCTGTCATTTGTTATGACATAAAAATTGTCATTTTTTTTAATTGCTTGCAAAAGAACGAGAGCATAAAGAAATAAAACAATATACTTTAAACGTACACATTTTTAGCCGGAATCCTGTATAATCAGTTATATCAAAATTGCATTTCAAAATTAATATTACAAAATTTGTGAATTTGTGACAATGATTTAATATATTCAATTATTTTCTAGAAATAATTACGTATTATTTTCTGGAAAACTTCGTTTTTTTTAATTGTGTCGTTCTCGTAGTAAATGAGTGACGAATAAATCACAATAAAAACCGACATAGCTTCTGCACTGATCGTCATTACTAAATCATCCGTATTACGCAAGCGTTTGCAGAAAAGTGATTTGTCAATAGACATATAAGAAAAAGACACAGATAAAGTGTGCGTGTCGTCTTACCTCTGGTTTCTTCGGCGGCAGCTACGGTAGGTGTGAACATAGAAAAGAAACAAAAACCGAATACATTCCAAGTTCGAGTGCTAGGAGCCTCTGTGTATGTTCGTGTGTATAATACGTAGTAGAACGCATCAGCGTGTGTCAATATGACGCAACAGCGACGTAGAACGCGTGCAATGGGTACGATAAAAATATATAATATATAATATATCGCAAGTGTATAGAGAAAGAGGAAACATACAAAGTGAACTATGCGTTATATAGAGAATATATACTTGGAATCGATAAATACAAAATTTAAGGCAAAACTGCAACGAAAAGGGAACGACAGCGTACGCCTTACTACAGATCTGGTTATCTATACTTCTTGTTTATGTCTATTTATGAGTGTCCTTATTAGCAGAGTGTCATGAAGGGAAGGACATTTGGTTTGGATGATTAGAAGATTGGAGGGACACGAAAAGTACGAGCTTATTCACAAAGACTTACCATAGGCTTGAAAACGCTGTTCCTTTGAGGCGCGGGCTGCCCTCCGGATCCCCCTCCAGGTGTCTGATGATTAGAAGGCGGCGTAGATACTTTGTGCGGTTGTCGAGGATCATCTCTAGGTGTCGGAGGTAATGGACGAGACGGTGGTTGCGGATCGGGCACCACTATTTACAGTCATCAAACATTAGTAACATGAAAAGGATCAGCTACAATATAAATTCTTTCATGAATCATTAAATGGATTTATAAGAAGCGAAACCAGAAGCCTGATGAAAAAAAAAAAGAAAATTAAATAGACTCAATTGACAGATCAGTAGGATTTTAATCGCGGAAAATAAACGTAGGTAAGTAAATAATTAGAATTTTTAGCATTTATAAGGCTGGTGAAGAAAAATGAAGATTGGATAGACAGATTAGTGGGATTTTAATCGCGGAAAATAAACGAGGGTAAGTAAATAATTGGAATTTTTGGCATTTAAAGTTTAAGTGCCAAAAAGTAGAAAGGATGGATAAGAAAAAAAGTGTAACCGAGTTCCTCCTTCGGCTAGAAAAGTAAATAAATATTCCATTCATTAAATGTACCTATGAGTCTGTGCGGTATAGCGGGTCTCGCGGGTGGTCCGGGCTCTGGCACTTCTCTTTGAGATCTACTTCCTGGCTTCTCTTTAGCGGCGGGCGCTTGTGGAGGTACATCCTGCGTCAAAGTTCTGCCTTCCTGAATCTGCTGGAAATTACGGCGCAGTGTATCACCTCCAGGCGCTTGAACTATAGATGACGGTTCGCCCGCCAATGCCGGTTCGTCCTCCTCGTTCTCGCTACCGCTGTATCGGTAATCGTCTCTTTCTGTAACGAACGGACGAATGGTGTGCAACGATGATGCAACGAATATGAAATAAGAGTTTCGTAGGAAACAACTTTCGTTTTCATTTTCGCACCTTTCTCCTGCTTGCGCTTTTTACAGCGATCAATGTGATCCTTAAGCTGTATTCTGACTTGTCTTTCCGTAGGTTGGTCCCGTATAAATGGATGTTTAAGGAGCTGTTCCGTGTATGGTCTTTGATGGTAATCCTTCACCAACACCGTTTCAATAAATCCGTGAAACTTTTTGGCCCACTTTTTAGACTTGAGCCGCGGCGGTGGATTACGAGGAATTAAAAACAACGCCTGTTCGATAAAACAATATATAATTATGTAACAATATATAACTTTAAACATAAGAATGTTGTACGTTATGAAAAGTACGTGTTAATCGTACTCAACGTATTGAGGAAGAGACTCACTCTCATAGGATGTAGATCGCAGAGCGGAGGTTGTGATTCAGCCATTTCTAGAGCGGTAATTCCGAGCGACCAAAGGTCGCTTCTATTGTCGTAAGTAGCATCTGGATTCTCGTCACATGCAATAACTTCTGGTGCCATCCAGTAAGGTGTGCCGATGAATGTATTTCTTCTACCTATCGTCCTGTCCAATTGTGCGCTGACGCCGAAATCGACTGAAGACACCACAGAATAATTAATGCGTAAAGATAAAACATGTCGAAATAATAGATATGTGTTAAATTGATGCAAAAAATTTCTCTTATAAAGTTTCAAATAAATTATATATATATATTTTTTTTAACAAAGATTTGTCAATTTCGTTCTACTTGGAAAAAGTATATTAAAATCAACAACAATTTATCTTAAATGATAAAAACAGATATGTATTAAATTGATGCAAAAAATTTCTCTTATAAAGTTTCAAATAAATTATACCTATATATTATATTTTTGGGAAGAAGATTTATCAATTTCTTTCTACGTGAAAAAAAGTATATTAAAGTCAACAATAATTTATCTTAAGATAAAAATTCCAGAACTAATAATGAAATGTAATATTTTGTTTGACTAATATAACGAATGTTTTGCCTCAATCTAATCATCACTATCAACCTTACCAAGTTTGACTTCCGCATTATCAGTCAACAGAACATTTTGTCCCTTGATATCCCTGTGGATAACTTTATTGCTATGAAGATAACTAAGTCCCCTCAGTATTTCTCGCGATATATAAGCTATCCACTCTTCCTTCAAGCTCTGGCCCTTGGTTGACTTGACGAGATCCGTGACGGAGCCAGCTCCGCAATATTCCATAACCAGCCATAATTGATCGTCTTTGCCGGGTGATGACTTCTTTACGAAGGCACCGTAATACGTAGCTATATTCCTATGATTCGAATACTAGAAGGCAAAAAAAAAATCAATTTGTCTGCATTAATACACTCCGCTAGCCAACGCCAGCGCTTTAAAATATTTATTCAAAGTAAGAAGATGTTTTAGGTCACTCACCCGCTTGAGTACATTTATTTCCAACTTGATTTCTTCCTCTTCATCCTGCAACGAGACGAACAGTATTAAAGGATACAATTTATCAAATGTGCCTTCTAATTTTTTATATGATGTGTTTTACAGATCAAGAAGTAAACAATTATTTACATAAGATACATTGTTTCACATATCATTTATTTTTAAATTTGTATAAAAAGAGATTTGTGAAATTGTACAATATTGAAAATTTGATTAGCATAAATCCCATTATAAAATTCTGCAAGTAGGTCATTGACAGAAAGTCGCGTCTTTAATTAGTCGTTCTACAAGTGACGTTAATGAAAAACGGCATAATTAAAAGGCATTAAACTCCAGCTGCGTACGCTGATAATCGTGCGAAAATGAACTCTACAAATACAATCGCTAGGGTAAACAGCATTAGACATTTCCTCGACAAGTAAAATGTGAAAATTCCTTTTTGTCTAGAAAAGCAGTGTGCCGTACGTTAAGTAGGTAAGTAGAGTCGAGGCTTTACTCACGCGTTACATGAGAGAGAAGAAAAGAGGGCACTCGCTAAGAAGATATATAAAAGAGAGAGGAGAAAGGGAGGCAGAGAGATAGAGAGAAAGAGAGAAATGTGCGCAATCATAATCGTAACGCTAAATTCCGATGCTAAATCTTCCGCTGATTTGGTCGATTTACGTGAGAGGAAACGGTTAAAAGTGCAGCGTAACGGTAATACCGATGCCCACGATCCTTGCTTCAGATATAAATAGAGAAATAAAGCGTGAAGAGAATCTGTTTACCGGGAATATTCCATTAGATAAGTATCACCGCGAGATGATTCATATCAATGTGTAACTGTAAAATCGTCTCTTTATAAGCTAAATGCGACGGTGGTACAAAGGAAAAGCGCTATTGCACGTGCACGTGCGAATAACTTATTTCTTTCAAATAATATAAATAGCCTTCCAAATGAGAAATAAAAATATTCGCTGGCAGAAAAAACTTTGCCGCCAGGATTTAGAAACCAGCAACCGTAGTTAAAAACCGAATCAGTCGAAAATCAAATCAAACTCTTGTAATCGTCTAACAAATTGGAAAGAGCGCGTCCGTTATAAAATCATATGTAAAATCTTCCCGTCCCGTGACATTACTCATTCTAGATTCTGAGAGCCGTCAAGTATCAAACCGTATCGCTCGCAGATTCGTGGAAATGGATCTTTGTCTTTCGTCGGCGTTGATGATATATGTAATGAACTTAGAATCGTATGTCGCGTTCACGTCTCACGCTGATAAAAACTTATCTATCTGCGGTTGCGGTACGCGGTGCCGGCACACAGGCGTTAGAGCCATTTTTTTTTTCATATTCTAAAAGAAGTCGCCTTTTGCCGATAGCTGTAGACTGGTGTAGACCTCGCCTCACACGCAAAGCCGACTTGTACGTTCGTATCTCACTATCTCGCGAAATCATTTACATGATTCTGAGAAAATCATCGCGACTGTGACTTGTAGCTCCAGTAGCAAGGTAAAGCCAACAGCGCAACAGTATAGTTGGATAGTTTCACAGAGATACCACAGAAAATGAATTTTGAAACTCCCTGACTTTTCCATGATTTTCAAA